GCATGGTTTGAAGATTCCCTGAGTCGGCTTCCAACGATTCGGATTCTGGGGTGGAAACTGACGTCGGATCCATGGCAACCTACTTTCACACCCTTAACAATTGCAAAAGTTGTTTTTTCAATTTACTTTTTTGTTTTTTTGTTTTTTTTTTGGGGGGGGGGGAGTTTGTTATAGTATAAGTATATAGGGACCATGTACTAGTAACCATTCCGACCGCTATACAACCCACGCTGATGATGCGTATCTTGACTTGAGCTCTCCATGTCGGGGGTGTGAGGTTCGGGGCTTCGGGCTTAAGGTTTAAGGTTTATGAAACACCAGCAACTTAGGATCTTGGTGGCAAACAACCCGCGCCCATCGCCTATGTGGTAGTCGACCAGCTGGTTGATCACGAGCATCAGTGCTGGAAGCTCTCCGAACATGCAATACCTGTGCACTAGGTTCTTGGGGTAGTTCCGTGGTCCCTTAGTATGGGCCCTTTAAATGGGGACCCCTTAAAGAACCCCTCAAGCCTTGTATAACTTCTAAGACCCAAGGGCCCTAAACCCTAAACCCTAAACCCTTAACCCTTAAACCCTTAACCCTTAAACCCTAAACCCCCTAAAGCCCTGAGTCTGAACGGAAAGTGCAAGATTTCGCCCAGGGACACGTACAGGTAGGCGGAGCCGGAGACGGGCAGCCGCGTGGCCAACTCGGCGAAGCACAGGCCTCTGAAGGGGTTAATTAGGGTAGGGGGGGGGGGGGGGGGTAGGGTTTAGGGTTTAGGGTTTAGGGTTTAGGGTTTAGGGTTTAGGGTTTAGGGTTCAGGGTTCAGGGTTCAGGGTTCAGGGTTCAGGGTTTCGGGTCTGGGCTGCCCAGTGACCTAGGATTAAGCGCCCATTTTTTGCTTAAAGGGGTTTACAAACCCTAAACCCTAAACCCTAAATCCTAAACTTTATGGGGTTTAGGGCGTTGGGTTTCTCCACCCAAGCGGCCATTGAAGACAGAGGATGCGGCAGCCAGGAGGAAGGCAACGGACACAGAGGGCCCAGCGATGCGGGCCTACGGAATCTCGAGGGTTAAGGGTTTATAGGGTTTAGGCTTTAGGGTTTCGGCTTTAGGGTTTCGGGTACCCTGAACTGTACCCTAGGGTTTTGGGGACCTTTTTCTTAAGATCGCTTAAAGTAGTAGACGGGCCATATAGGGCCATATGCGGAGAATATTTAAAGGGAACCTTTAGGGGTACAGCCTTGGGGGGGGAGTTTTTAATTCCTTGTTCCCAGCTTGATAGCGGTTGTACTAAGTTGAGCTCGGGTTTCGGGCTGTTTGGGGTTTAGGGTTTAGGGTATAGGGGGTTCAGTAGGGTTCGGTCTAGGGTGGAGGGACTGGAGTTTGGAGGCTTCGGGCGCTGCCGAGTCAGTACTAGCAATTCAAACGCCAAAAAACGCGCCAACTCTCCGCAATGCGGATCCTAAACCCTAAACCCTAAACTCTAAACCCTAAACCCTAAACCCTAAACCCTAACCCCAAAAACCCTAAACCGCCCATCTTCGGCCACCTCCGCGCCCGTCAGAACGAAGATGCCAGCTCCGATACAGGCTCCAATTCCTCAAGGGTCTAGGGTTTAGGATTTAGGGCTTAGGGTTTAGGGGCGTTTTAACTATACACCAAATAGGGATGAATCATAGACGGACGGGGGGGGGGGGGGTTGGGTCTTAAACCGAGAGCCTTAAATACCCCGCACCAAGGCGCCCAAGAGCGTCAGCTCCACCGAATTCAGCCTGCGGTCCAACTCCCCGTCCTGACACAAGCCATTTAGAGTTTAGGGTTTAGGGTTTAGGGATGTTTAGGGTTTAGGGTTTAGGGTTTAGGGTTTAGGGTTTAGGGTTTAGGGTTTAGGGTTTAGGAAACACGATGATAACAGCCCCAAAAACAAAGCTAAAGCCCTAGAAGACCAAACCTTTCCTCCAATAGGCACCCAAAACCCTCAAGCCTAAACACCAAACCCTCAACCCTAAACCTTCCCTCCTAAGCCTCCTTTTGCGCCTAGATTCACTGACAGCGCTAGGTCAGCATGCTCAACTCAAGGAGTGCGTGGTGTAGAGGATGTGCGCATGTCTGAATAATGGCCATCTCTTGATCATCAGGGTCGGGATACCATACGCCCCGGCAGTTTTGGAGGGTTTAGGGTTCAGGGCTTGGGGGTTTAGGATTTAGGGTTTGGGGTTTAGGATTTATAGGCTTAGGATGGTTTGGGGCTTGGGGTTTAGGATTTAGGGTTTGGGGTTTGGGGCTTAGGATGAAGGAAAAAAGGGATCCCTCGAGCTTGGAGACGTGGCCTCGGAGCTCGTCTTCGACTGAGGGTTTTGGGGGCTGGTTCTTAGTAGGGAATGCGGGAATGAGGTACCCTATATAATCCCTTAAAGGGTATATACAGGGCCCAAATTCCCTCATTCCCTGCTAAGAACCAGGAGGTTTTGGGGTAGCTTGGAGGTGCAAGTGTCGGCTTGGGTGCTAAATTTAAGGCTTTTATGGGATTTATAAGGTTGTAGTTTAGTTTATAGTTTATAGTTTAGTTCATAGTTTTTTTAGGGTTTCTAGGGTTTATAGGATTTTCGGGCTTGTCGGGGCTATAGGGGTTTGGGTTTATCGGGTTCGCAGGGTTTATGGGGTTTGGGTATATGGTTCGGGGTTTGGGGTTTAGGGTTTGGGGGGCTGGGGCTTAGGGTTTGTAGGGTATACAGGGTTTATAGGGTTTGGGGTTTAGGGTTTGTAGGGCTTGTAGGGCTTATAGGGTTTATAGGGTTTACGGGGTTCGGGGTTTAGGGGTTGTAGGGTTTATAGAGTTCACAGGGTTTATAGTATTTACAGGGTTTATAGGGTTCAGGGACAGGGCTCAGCTTCTTGTTGTCTCAGGTTGCTATATCTCCCCCTGTCCCCCCCCCCTCCCCCCCAACACAAGAACAAAGCAGAACATCCCCCGACACATTGTGGGTTTAGGGTTTAGGGTTTAGGGTTTAGGGTTTAGGGTTTAGGGTTTAGGGTTTAGGGTTTAGGGTTTAGGGTTTAGGGGTCTGCATCGCGTATCAACAGATGTCCTGGAGGCTCGGCAAGTCATGGACCTTCGTATACTCTGCCACCAGCTTGGCTTGCAAGGACTCCTGCCTTTTCCAGGGCTGCGGCTCCTACATACTATAACATACTATACTCCCCTTAGAACCTCAATAAACATAATATGTTTAATATTCTCTTGGGTTTTATATAAACAAAAATTTGAGAAAAAAACAAGGGGGATATAGCGAACCTGCGGCCTATACTACGAACCTTAAGTCGTGTAGACACCACGGATTCTGTTAAGTCTTTTCCTTGGGTCAAAACTTCACTCGCCCTAAAGCCAAGAAGGGAGGGTGCTCTTGGGTAGGTACCTAGGGAATTTTAGGGAAGCTTAGGGAGCCTCAGGGAGTGTGGGGTGTACTGGGGAACCTTGGATTACAGACTTCCCTTGAATCCCCCCTTCCCTTAAGGACCCTATAAAGAAACGAGCTCCTGAAATCGAAAACAAAATCGCCGGAAACGCCGAACCCCCCAAGCCTTGTTCTCCCAAAGCTGGAAGGCTCCAAGTCCTAAACCACCCTAAACCCTAAACCCTAAACCCCAAACCCCAAACCCCTAAACTTCGAAGCCAAGCAAAGCCATGGTTCCGAATCTGCTTTGACTTACCACTTCTGAATTGCCCTGTATAGTGGAATACCGGGTACCTGGAAAGCCCTAAACCCTGAAATCCTAATACATAGTACCTAACTCCCCTGAAGAACTTGTGAGATAACTTGGAGGGTCATTTTTGAGTACCTCTCAACCAGGGCAGGGTTTAGAGTTTCGGGTTTAGGGTTTGGGGTTAGGGGTATGAGGGCCTTGGAATCCATAGGTCCATAGGCTTAGGGGGCCCAAACCCTAAACCCTAAACCCTAAACCCTAAACCCTAAACCCTATCCAGGTTCTTCGGAAGTCGGAGGCCTTTCCACGGCAATCGCTGAGCCCTCGCTGGAGCCCTGGGACAAGAGCGGCTTCAGCACCGCCGCCGCCATGGCCCACTTGCGGGTTTTGGGGGCGTGGTTTGGGGGCGTGCTAAGCCATTTCCTCTAAAAGGATTTAAAGGAACCCTAGTAAGGGCTTATGGTTCATATGCCCTAGTGAAGGTTATAGAGTAGCATGGGGTATACGAGTTTTAGTGTTCATTTGGTCTTCCAGGTTGGGGCTTAGGGGGGGCTTAGGGTCGAAAGCCCTCATATCCTTAGAATCCGAATAAGCTTTCAGACTTGGGTGCTGCTTGTATTTAGGAGGACATGGAACCTCCAAGTATCCCCCTTGACGTGTGCCTTCGAGGTTGCTTCATATTGGAGGGTATCTCCGTGTCGCCTTCAAAGGGATACTTGGGGGCAGGGCTTTGGGGCTGAGAGGTGCAGGGGCTTCGAGTAGAGCCTATCCAGGGCTTGATCTGCCTTGAGAGGGCAAAAGTCTGACGGAAAGGCGAAGCAGCGAAGTTATTTGCCGTCGGGGTTCTAGTTGTGGTTCTGGGACAATCCTACCCGAAAAAAAGTACCAAAAAGGGGATAGGACATAAGCCTCCAGGTAACTTGTTTCTCAAGTACCTGCGCTCAAACCGGAGGTTACCTTAAGGGCTACTTTTCTAACGCCTGCCCGAGAACCCTACAACGCCCAAAGACCTAAAAACTGCAGAGCAACCATCGTGGCTACCGGAGGGGGGTTCAGGGCTTAAGGACTCAAAACGATCAGGAATGTACACTAACATGGCCCCTGAAAAGCCTTTTGAAAAATACTCCTAAATAATCCTCTTGAACCCCATAAGAGAAAATAGAAAATATCCCAAGGGCCTACCTAGTACAGTATACGATGATCGAGACCCAACAGGTCCTAAACCCTAAACCCTAAACCCTAAACCCTACACCCTAAACCCTAAACCCTAAACAGGGTGCCATTTATCTCAGATCCGGTCAGCCTGCCTCGAGGATCGACGCGTCTGCAAGGCTTCCTAAGGGCGAGAAAGAAGCTAAACCTCAATACCCCGCTGATAAGAGGGTTTAAGGTTAAGGTTTAGGGTTTAGGGTTAGGGTTTAGTTTAGGGTTTAGGGTTTGGGGTTTACTCAGGCTTTTGTGGCTTCGCCAACTCCCCGGACAATGGAATCATGAAACAATTGTTGTCGTTGTCTGAAGCAACCAAACAAAATATTCTGAACCTCTGACCCGAAGCTGCACCCCTAGCCCCAAGGCTGCACGCGATACTTCGCAACCCTCACAGCCAAACCCCAAACAAGGCCTGGCATGCAGAAGCCCCGAAAATAGAGTATGGTTTTTTGAGCCCAGTGAAGCTTCCGCCCCTCAACCCTCAACTCCAAAACCCCCAAAGAACAAAACCCCCCCAAACCCCTGGACCCTACAGCGCACAAGTAAACCCCTAAACCCTCCGCCCTGAAACCCCACATCCTTGGGCCCTTGCGCTCAACCGCCTACACCTTACACCCTAAGCTTAACCCTGACCCAAACCCCTATTCCCCAAAGCCACGAAACCCAAAACGACTGAACCCCAGACCGCTTGATCCCTGAACTCTCTACCCCTAAACCCTAAACCCTTAAACCCTAAACCCTTAAACCCTTGAACCCTAAACCCTAAACCCTAAACACTAAACCCTAAACCCTAAACCCTAAACCCTCCCCTGGAGGCCTCGGGCTGAGGTTCATCTGCCGCCTCAGCCTCTTCAGCCTCTCCGGCTTCCTGGTGCGAAGAGGGTTTAGGGTTTAGGGTTAGGGGCTTAGGGGTTTAGGGTTGAGGGCTTAAAGGGAGTGGGGGTTTTGGGGTTTAGGGGTTTCGGGTTTAGAGGTTTCGGGTGTAGGAGTTTCGGGCTTAGATGTTTCTGGCTTCGGGTTTAGGGGTTTCCGGGTTCATCCGCCGCATCCCAAACAGGGTCCCACAAGATACGCAAGCCCTTCACCCCCAAGCACTTGTAAAGCCTTCTACTGAAGCCCGCATGCACCCCAAATGCTCAACCTCATAGATACCCTAAACCCTAAACCCCAAACCCTAAATCCTGAACCCCAAACCCCCAAACCCTAAATCCCAAACCCCAAACCCTCAAACCCCCAAACCCCCAAACCCTAAACCCTAAACCCCAAACCCTAAACCCCAAAAACCCCAAACCCTACACCCCTAAACCCCAAACCCTAAACCCTAAGCCTCCTCGTCGTCTGCCGGGCCCTCGTCCACGGCTGCCTGGAGATCACTGGGAAGTCGCTGGCGCAGGCCTGGCAGCTCCCAGAGCTGGCTTCGGCTTTCTTGGAGGTTTAGGGTTTAGGGTTTAGGGTTTCGGGTTTAGGGTTTAGGGTTTAGGGTTTCGGGTTTAGGGTTTAGGGTTTAGGGGTTAGGGTTTAGGGTTGAGGGTTGAGGGTTGCGGGGTGAGGGTTGAGGGTTGAGGGTTGAGGGTTGAGGTTTTAGGGTAACTGTACTTATAACCCAAATATAACCCTATTAGGGTACTTAAGGGGCTGAAAAGTGGGTTTTTTACTGCACTTATAAGTTGGTACTAGGTGCCCTGAACCTCCAAGTAGGGCCTACACCGCAAGGACCCCGCCAAAACCTGCTTTGTGAGACTGAAACTGCTATGAGGACAATATTCTGAGGGGTAAGAGTTCTGTAACCGCAATTTTCAAGTGTCTTCAGAACAATCGTACCGCGAGGTCGATATTCAGAGGAGTACGAGCTCTTTAATCCCCATTTTTTCAGGTCTTCGGGCCAAAAAGGGTTTATTTAGTCCCCAAGGCCTTCATCTTGGCACAGCGCGCTGTGCCAAGGCTTTTCCTAAGCTTGACATGCGAGGGCTTTGGGATTTCAGGGTTGCAGGGTCTTTAAATGCTGAAACCTGAATCCAGAGCCCGTTTTGGGGACTTCTGGATGCCTAACTCCGACAAAAAGGTGTGTGGTTTCTTGCCCTAGCCCTAAGGGTCCATGTACCTAAATAGGGAATGCTTGGGCCTTAAAGTACTTGCTATCTAGGGACTTTGGGGGCCAAGTATACAATCACAAGGTACATGGACCCTAAACCCTCAACCCTAAACCCGAAACCCGAAACCCCAAACCCTAAACCCTAAACCCTAACCCTAAACCCCTAAACCCCTAAACCCCAAACCCGAAACCCCAAACCCCAAACCCTAAACCCCCCTTAGGGTGTGGTTCTTGCCCTAGGTCTTTCATGATGACGGCCCAAGGCTCATGCATCAGCACGGCCATGACAGCCACAATCTGCCTGCGATACATCTTCCTCAGCTCCACCGTGAACCCCAACTCCCTAAACTCCCTAAACTCCCTAAACTCCCTAAACTCCCTAAACTCCCTAAACTCCCTAAACTCCCTAAACTCCCTAAACCCTACACACAGAAACGGGGCCCACCAGCGAGAAAGAGAGAAAAGGAGAGAGGGGAGGTAAAGGCGGAGGGCGGCAAGCCGATGTCTAAAATCAAACACTCGTCCACAGCAAGCGTACTCTTAAACCCTAAGCCTTAAACCCTAAGCACTAAACCCTAAACCCCAAACCCCTAACACTAAACCCTAAACCGGATGTGAAGATCCATGGGCATGATATAGCAGCGCGAGGATTTCTGCTTTAGTGAACTTTAGGGACTCTAGTGGTAGGCCTCATTCAATGTGCCCGTTTAACGGGTACCGCATCGAAAGGATCTGCCTTGAAGCCTCAGATTACGCCCTAAGCCCTTCACGGCAGCTGAGATGCTTTGCCTCATGGAGGCTAATGAGAAAGCGAAGCACCGCCTCCTGCACAAAGGGCAGAAGAGAAAAACAAAAAAAAAAACATGATTCCTGAGGAGGACAAAAAGGGTAACCTTTGTGGTGTTAAGGGGATTTCCAGGGAACCCCCGCAACCCTAAGAAAAGGAAACAAGGGCCTACTCCGGGGGCCCGGATCTCCGTTTATTCCGCAACAAACACCTGGTGAAGGCACAGTGCAACGACTGAGCAGACACAAGAAAACATCCAAACGACAGAGTTCCTAAACCCTAAACCCTGAACCCTGCACCCTGAACCCTCAACCCTGAAACCTAACAAGCTTCGGCGGCACCCCCTGTGCCTTGTTGTCTAATCCGCCCAGAAGCTGCTTCGGCGGCGCTTCCCGGCCTCGTGCAGCCTCACAGGTAGGACGGAGGTCCAAGGAAGAAGTTTTAGGGATCAGGGTTCAGGGTTTGGGGTTTAGGTTTAGGGCTAGGGACTGTATCGTTTGGTGCGCCACGAAATGCCTCCCCTCATCCTTCCTGAGAGCACGATCTTGAGCCAGGACCCTAAGACCATGTGAAGCACCCCCCCCTCTCTGTCGGTTTTTAGGGTTTAGGGTTTAGCGTTTAGGGGTTTAAAGTTTAGGGCTCCCCCCCCCTTAGGTTCCTTCCTGAAAATTAAAGGGGGGGTCGTATAGAGGGGGGTAGTAGGGGATTCCCCCGAAGCCAACTCCTCAAGCCAAGCATGATCAGTTTCAGGCCGCAACTGGACAAAATAGCGGGTTTCACAGCAACCCTTGGGCGTTTAAGGTTTAGGGTCTATAGGGAACCCCAAACCCTAAACCCTAAACCCTAAACCCTAAACCCCAAACCCCAAACCCTAAACCCATAGCATCCGTGCTCGCGCCTGCGTCACGGCCCGGCGAAAGCCCTCGAACACCTCGGGCCCATCCTGGCTCAAGCCCAGTTGCTTTCATTTGCGGAGGCACTCAACGAACTGAGAGTTGATCTTTAGGGTTTAGGGTTTAGGGTTTAGGGTTTAGGGTTCAGGGTTTGGGGTTCATCAGCTCATGGACTAGCTTTCAATAGTCAAGCAGCTTGTCAAGCAAAGGGATGCTGAATTCCAAAGTATAATGTCCGAGAAGTAAAGCCGGATAAGCCCAAACACAATTGACCCTAAAAACCCTGAACGCCTAGACGCCGTAAACAAATTCCTACATCCCTAATCCCTGCAAAGACCCGCCAACCCTAAAAACCCAAAACCCCGAAAACAACCAAAAACAAAAAACCCTAGCGCCCCTAACCCTAAACCTTGCCTAAAAAATCTTAAGCCCTAAAAGCCGCAACAACTGACAACAAGCGCAACAACCCAAACGACCTGGGTGACGCGACTCTCTGGCAAGGCAGCGATGCGTGAAACCTGGGGGGCGGAAACCCTGCGGCTCCCTGAGGGGGTTTGAGGTTTTAGGTGTAGCTGGTTTAGGGTTCAGGGTTCAGGGTTTTAAGGTTAGGGCTTAGGGTTTAGGGTTCAGGGTTCAGGGTTCAGGGTCTAGGGTGTAGGGTTCAATGCACAAGGGGCTCTTTGACCGAAACCAACCCCTACCTCGGGGTCTAGTCGAAGAGAAGAGGGGGAGGGAGGGGGATGCGATAACTTGGGTGTATGGCCCTAAACCCTGAACCCTAAACTCCCTGGTAGGGCTTGTGGGATTCAGGGCACGGGGGGATTCTATAGCTTGTTGAGTAATGAAAGTTGAAGCTTTTCACAGCTGGAAGCCCTAGCAAGCATCTAGGATTGGACTGACTAACTACAATGTCGTTCAACAAATGGTTAATACAAGGGTTATGAGGGGATAATATAGATCTAGGTCCTGTAGGTCATGCCCTTGTATTGGCCATTCTGCTGGGTACTACTGCTTTAAGGATCGGGACGAAGCTCGGAAAGCCCTTGAAGCCCACTTACTTACAACCCTGATCCCCTGAACCCTAAACCTCAAACCCCAAACCCTATACCCTCGGAGGGTAGACACATGGTAACTTCGTATCAGCCCTTAAGTGGGGACCCCTTGTATACCCCTTACATGCCCTAGAGCCCTTGAGACAAAGAGGTAAAGGACCATATTAGAGGACGATGTAGCCACCCTAGGAGAATCCCTAAGCTCCAACATTCCTGGGCAGGAGTGCCCCAGCCAAGGGGCGCTCTGCTGCAAGGCATCGGCGATGGATGCAGCCATTGCCCAGGCAGAGTGAGTAGGGTTTAGGGGTGTGCCTAGAGGCTCGTGCCCTGAAGCCGAGCCTGATTTGTCTTGGGAGTGGGGGAGCGGAGGGGGGTGGGGTTGAGGGTACCTATAGCTTCCAGGGTGAAGAGGATCAGCCTATAGGTGGCGGGGGGTTTTGGAGGTTTCGGGTGTGGCTTGGGAAAATAGTTCTATCTTGGTTTTGAGGCTACTTGTTGTTGGCCCCCACAGTTTTGGTAAGCGTGCGAGACTGTTGGCTGTTTGGTGGCATGGTTGCACCTTTCTGGTGGTTGTTGGACACAGATGCGAGGTGGGGTTCAGGGCTCAGGGTTTTTTATTCTCCCTAAATAACCTTAACTATTGGGGCGGGGTAGCTGGGGAACCCAACACAGCGAACACATGGCTCAAGGCCTTGTGGCAGAATGCTGCAGGGAGTCCTGGTATGCCCCGGGCCTGCTAAAGGAAGGACAGACTAAGAACCAGAATGGCCCTAATTCTTACCCTCTTAAACCCAATAACCCTTTAACACATATTCCTGAATATGATCCCAAGGGCCTACCTAGAGAACCAGAAAGGGCGCGCCCATTCTTGTTGAATATGGGGTTTGGTAATTATCGGGTTCTTAAGGGATGGGGGTTCAAGGGGGGTATGTAACCCAAGGTTCCCTAATACTCCTGCTACTCCCTAAGGCTCCCTAAGCTTCCCTAAGTACCTACCCCCTATGAGCCACCCTCCCTTAAGAACCCACATTTCGATCTAAGGCCAGCCCTGGGAGTGAAGAAAGGGACTAAGCACGCTACTTGGCAGCTCTAACCCAAACACCCTAGTCACCAGCCTTCGAAATCACGAGGGTTCAGGGTTTAGGGTCGAGGGTTTAGTTGAGCCGCGACCCAGAAAGGAAAGACCCATGGGCCCAAACTACCAGAAGCCTCCCTCCAATGTACATTGCAGATGTACCTCTCACTACTTTCTTACGGTTCTTTCCAAGGGTCCTAAACCCAACATGACAACCTCAGGCATCACCCCCGCAAGCCCTCCACCGTACACCCTAAATTCCCTAAACTCCCTAAACTCCCTAACCTCCCTAAACTCCCTAAACTCCCTAAACTCCCTAAACTCCCTAAACTCCCTAAACTCCCTAGACCCTGAACCCTAAGCAACACACAATCAAGGCAGCCTCGGCCATGCTAAGGAGCGCATCGCACAAAGCGTGAGCCACCTGCAAAGGGTTTAGGGAGGTAGGGTTTAGGGTTTAGGGTTTAGGGTTTAGGGTTTAGGGTTTAGGGTTTAGGGTTTAGGGTTTAGGGTTTAGGGTTTAGGGTTTAGGGTTTAGGGTTACCCACGCATCCACGAGGATCCCAACACGGAACTACATCAGTGTCCTCCCGTGGACCCCAGAGGCTCCACCTGCGCACCCTGCGGAGTCCGAAACCCTAAACCCTAAACCTAAACCCTATAAACCCTAGACCCTACACCCTAAACCCTATCAACCCTAAATCCTCAACCCTAAACCCTAAAGCCTAAAAGCTAAAAGCTGAACCCTTCCTTCTTTTGTAGGAAGAGCCCGGTTCCAGGATTGAGGGTTCTCCAAGCCGTAAGCCCTGAACCCAGGCTTTCTGGTGGTTTAGGATTTAGGGTTTAGGGTTTAGGGAATTTGGTAGGTGGTTTAGGGTTTCCGTGGTTTGGGGTTTAGGTGGTTTAGGGTCTGGGGTTCAGGAGATCTGCACAGCAAGACGTTTTCCATTGAGGTGCCACACGCGCGCAGGTGACAACCTTCCCATTGATAAGAGCCAAGCCATTTACCAAGCCAAGGTGTGGTTCAGATAGCCCTAAACCCTAAACCCCAAACCCTAAACTCTAAACCCTAAGCCCTAAACCCTGCATACCCTACAAGAACAAGCATGGAAGACGACTCTGCAAAGGTCAGGGCAGCTTTCAACGCCGGCCGTGCCTCTCACGGCCGGTAGAGACGTGCCACCGCACAGCGATGTGAACGAAACATGGGTTTAGGGTTTTTAGGGGTTTTAGGGCTTTTAGGCCGTTTGGGCGTTTTAGGTTTTTTTTGGGTTTTAGGGTTTAGGCAGGTTAGGGGTTTGGGGGATTAGGGTTTAGGGTTTCTGGGTTTAGAGTTTTAGAGTTTAGGGTTTAAGGGGTTGAGGGGTCTAGATTCTGATAGGGTTGAGGGAGGCTTGAAAACGTGCACCCAATCCACCTTTAAGGTTCATGATGGTCTGTATGGGTCTGAGGTCCCCTAAGCACAAACAGGGCCACCAAGGAAACCCTAAACCCAAAACCCTGAACCCTGAACCCTAAACCCTGAACCCTGAACCCTGAACCCTCAACCCTAAACTTAACCCTAAACCCTAAACCCGAAAACCCTAAACCCTGAACCCTAAACCCTAAACCCTAAACCCTAAACCCTAAACCCTAAACCCTAAACCCTAAACCCTAACCCTTTGCTATTGAAGGAGTTCTATCAGGAAACGTTCAGGGTCTTCGGTGCTTCCCGCTTTAGGGTTTATAGGGTTTAAGCTAAGAATGATTCACCACACCCCAAACCCATACCCTTTAACCTACAGAAAAGACATTATAAGGGAGTCTAAGGGAGGATATTCCCATACTCCTTAATTTGGTTTAAGGTTGTGCCCAAGGGGTATGTTGAACATTGCTAAGATTTAAGCGCCTCTCAGAAAGCAGCCCTATGACCAGATTGGTTGCGCCCTAGGCACAACACAGCGGGCGCCAAAGCCGGTACCAAACTTCCGGGGGCCCGAAAGGATGAATCCAAAAGACCCGGACCAGACTCCTATGTCAGGGTCTAGGGTTTAGGGTTTAGGGTTTAGGGTTTAGGGTTTAGGGTTTAGGGTTTGCCACCTGAAATCCCTAGATCCCTAGAACTCCCACCAGTCTAAAGACTTCAGTCTGAAACCCTCACACTCAGACAGCCTTAGGCTCTGCTTGGAGGTTCAGGGAACTTAAAACCCTAATTATACCTGTACTTATAAGCCCCCTAAGTTGGCCCCTAAGTAGGTTATAAGTAGACTTATAACTGTGGTTATAAGTACCCATGAACCTCCAAGTACAAGTGGTTCTTCAGCACGATTTCAGGAAACAGCACCTCCATGATTTCTCCTTGTATAGTCTTCACGGGTCGACATAGGGACCCAATATCCCTAACTCTCCATCAAGAATGGAGCCCAGAGCACCCAGAGCACATACCAGGGAAAGTCATTTTGGGGTGTTGTTGAGGAGGGTTTAAGGCTTTTGTCCATAAAGCGACAGTGGTGCTTGGCAGGGAGCACTCGAGTATTCCCAAAAAGTCTACCTGCTTAAGCGCGTTCGCTATCTGCACACGTTCGGTACCATCGGATTCTGCGTCGGGCCCCCGGAAACTGCTTCTGGCAAGTGGATGTTCATCGAGACCAAAACACCACAACCCTTTAAGCCATACATGCCCAAGGATACCTTTGAATCCTACAAGTCTTACATCGAAATCCTTCACCCTGTGGTGTCAGATGCACTTGGGGGTCGGCATTGTACCTCCTGCCCCAAGTACGGCCCTTTAGGGTTCGGGCTCGGTGCTACTTCCCGACTCCCCCGACATCTTCGGAAGACGAAGGCAAGAACCCCGACAAACACCGTTCTGCAAGCTCTCATGTCGGCCCGGAACCTTCCACTGATACTGACTGTACAGCAACGCTTCATCGCGCACGGCATGGTCATCAAATTGCAAGATAGAAACTCGGCAACAACGACCTTCCCCAGCTCTGCACCCTAAACCCCAAACCCCAAACCCCAGACCTTAAACCCTGGCCCTAAACCCTAAACCCTTTTCCCTGAACCCTGAACCCTTTTCCCTGAACCCTAAAGCCCAAAACGAAGCCATAAACCAGGCAATCCTTGAAACTGCTAACTCTGAGACTGCCCTATGGTGGGCTCAATGCTGCCCTTGCGCTTAAGGTCACGGTGGCGCCTGGCCACTTGAACCACTTGGTGGTTTCCGAAAATAGGTTTAGGGTTTAGGGTTCAGGGTTTCGATGTTAGGGGTAACTTATTGGGGTCCATCTTATAAGGGAATCCTCCTATTTGGGGGTCTATTTTAGGGGTCGCCTATTTTCGCAAAATCCCACTTGGCCTCACGCGTAAACCCAGAGCCCGGTATGCAAGCAAGTGTTGCCAGAAAGATACAATCGACACTGTGATGCCTCTGGAAATAAAGCAGGGCACGAACTCGTCATGCTGCCTGCACAAGTCCATGCAGCACCAGTGAGCTTCACTGCAACTGGATTCGCACTGTGGGTCGGACTTGAGCGTGGAATCGCTCGAGCAGCTTGCAAAGGTACCCTGTCCATTTGGCCACGTCTTCGCGCTGCTTGCTCTCCACAGTGACTCGGATAAGCTCTGCAGCCTCAGCAACACCCTTGCCACCGGCTGCTCTATGGATTGCCAACAGCCACTCGCGGACGTTGCCCCGGAAGTCACTGTGCTGAAGCACCGGCGTGTTTGTCAGAATGGAGCGCACAGTCTTGTCCACAACTGACTTGGCAGCATTCTCTCGTGGGCTGTCAGTGCGCTTCTCCTTCTTTTCCTTCCTGTCCTTCTTGCCGTGCTTCTCGTTCTTGTCACACTTCTCGCTCCCCAGTTGACCTTTGGCGACTCTGACTGCAGGGGTAAGAAGTGTCTTGGGCGCCCCTGCTTTCAAGAGCCGATTGGCTTCGACGTTCCTCTCGAACGACCATCCCTCAGCAAGGGTGTCCTTTCCGAAGGTCTCATGGTTCTTCCGATCTGCCCCGGCTTCTGCAGCTTCGCGTGATTCCATGCAGTACAACTGAAACTCATCCACGCTCAGAGCCAGTGGTTGGGCCGCGCTTCTCTGCGACGAGGAGCCTGCTTTGAGAATTGACAAGATCTCCTTGCCACGGTTGGGCACCGGTGGGGGCCTGGAGGGATAGAGGGATAGCTCTACAACGGGGATCTTGTTTGCTTTGCACATGGAGTGACGCTTCCAGCCTGCACAGCTCCGCTCCCAAATGTTCGCATGCGTAACAGAGGCCTCAACCCCTTCGATACCATTGAGTTCCAAGCAAAGCCATAGCTGCGCGGTGGCACCCTGCCTGTCTTGCAAGGCCTTGCGTCGAGAGATGACCATTCTGATTGTGTCGACGACCACCTTGCTTGTGATGCTTCCACCAAGTTGCGATAGGTCCACCTCAGTCACCGAGGAACTGGAAATCCAATCGCCCAGTGCCAGCAAAGACATATCCCCGATCGATGTCTGGCCAAGCTTCAGGGAAGAACACTGCGGCCACTGCCGCAAGAAAGGTACAAGGTTCGATGTCACACCATCGTCTGTGATGCGCGGATTTTGCGAAAGATCCAGTGCGTAAGAAGTTTGAGCCCCAGCCGTCTGCAGCCGGAGGCCAACGTGACGAAACAACGAGGGCAAGTCGGCATCGCACACGTCCTGAAATGCCCCATATGCAAACACGACATGCTGGCCAATGCTGGGATGGAACAACGCAGAAGTCATGAATGCCTCCGTGCCCCAAGGCCCCTCCGTCTGAATTGAAGCCTTCAACCCCTTACAACCCCTTACCCCACGCCAACCAAGTATCCTGTCGACGCAGCTCCACCCTGATCATGAAGCCGTCGACCAGGGTGGAAGCGAACCACCGCCTCAGTTTACCAAGTGAAGGTGGCAGGAAGACAGAAACCCTTGGGATGTTCCCCCCGATACTAACAGTCCACAATGGGTGAGATAGTACCCCCTTCTATCATCCCCATTACGGACTGTTAGTATAAGGGGGAACATCCCAACCTAAACCCTAAACCCCAAACCCAAAACCCTTCTAACCTCCCCCTTATACTATACAACAGTCCTTAATAGGGATTATCGTACCCCCTAATATAATCCTTATTAAGGACTGTTAGTATAAGGGCATTCATTGAGTCTTCAGGAGGCTGCCCGACAATAAACGGCAAGCAGACTAAACGACCTCCTGACTACGACGGCGGTTTAGGGCGCTTCGGGATCTCGGGTATTACAGTCAGGGTTAACACTAACAGTCCATAATAGGGATTACAATAGGGGGTACAAAAATCCCTATTAAGGACTCTTAGTAGAAGGGGGAACTGGGATTAGGGTTTAGGAGCTCTAGATGGAATACTTGCAAGTGGTTGCGACCGAGCTACTGCCATGAATTGGTCCAGGCAGGCGCAGTCATCTGTACATCTGCCATTGCTGCCCTCGGTGAGTCGGGGCAGGGCAGGGTGTGCTTACACTTTCGGAGCACGCCTCGGGCCTCTGAACGTTACGGACATGTGCGGATGCCAGCAGCGGCTGATCTTCCAACACAAGGGCCCTTCCCCCCCCCAAAAAAAAAAACATAAATAAAATAAAATGGATAAATGCTCTCTCCTCCCCACGCAACTAGATACAAACCTTGGGGTCCACATGAACCCGAAGTTGGGATCATAGGTACTAGACCCCTCTTCGGATGCCCCAAGGGTCCATGTACCTTCTCAGTACATACCTGGGCCTTAAAGTAGCTCACGGGCCCATGTACCTAAATAGGGAATACTTGGGCCTTCAAGTACTTCCTAGATAGGGACTGTGGGGCCCAAGTATATGACAATAAGGTACATGGACCGTTAGGGACCCTAAACCCTAAACCCTAAACCCTAAACCCTAAACCCTAAACCCTAAACCCTAAACCCTAAACCCCCATACGGTTTGGTTCACTTAAGAAGTCTACGTCTCCACAGCTGACAGGGTGTGGCTGTTCAGGGCGACTAGAGGGAATTGTAGCAGCCAGTCTGCACAATTGGTTTAGGGTTTAGGGTTTAGGGTTTAGGGTTTAGGGTTTAGGGTTTAGGGTTTAGGGTTTCAATTGGGTGGAGCTCGTTTCTGCTCTGCTCCACTGACCGCACATGCTACCAGTCCTAAGCCCATATAGCCCTAAACCCTAAACTCCCCCAGCCTAAGCCAAAAACCCCAATACCTAACCCCCAAACCCCAAAACCGACCCCCAACCCTACTGAAACTCTACGATGCTCGAGATCGAAACCCCAGAGCCCCACACTTTGAGCAAGGTTCACAAGTAACGAGGGGACAAGGAGGAAACTTTGTGGTTTAAGGGGGTATCAAGGTCTAGAGGGAGCCCAATTCCGGAAACATGGCACAGCTGGGGCAGCGCCAGAGGAAAAATGAAGTATGTCGATTTGAGGGTGTTGCTTCCAGGCTGGGGGTTTAGGGTTTAGGGTTTAGGGTTTAGGGCGACAGTCCAGGGACACTCTGGGGTTGGGCACTCCAGGGACACTCTGGGGTTGGGCACCCTGGCAGTAGGCCGGGCGAGGAGAAGTAGACCAGGCGAGGGGAAGAGATGAGTTTAAAATCTAACAACCCCACACCGAGGGTGGGGAAAAAGGCTAACGAAGTAGCCACTAGGGCACAGGGTTCCCTCTATAAAGATGACATGCTGAAAGCCGCAAACCTTCCGAAAATTAACACCATGACGTAGAGAGGGGGGATTCCGCGAGCCGCAAGTCCGAAGGGCTTTGGCTTAGGGTTTAGGGTTTAGGGTTTAGGGCTTAGGGCTTAGGGTTTAGGGTTTAGAGTTTAGGGTTTCGGGTTTGGGGTTTGGGGTTTAGGGTTTAGGGTAAAACCCACTTTTGACACGGAAACGTCGCCGTGGTCCTCTGTACTGCTCTCGCACCCGGGCTCACTCCTTTGGACCCGCAGCTCCCACAACGCCCTAGGGTTTAGGGATACACACAATTGTTTAGGGTTTAGGGTTTATAGGGTTTAGGGTTTAGGGTTTAGGGTTTAGGGTTTAGGGTTTAGGGTTTAGGGTTGGATACACCAATCCTTAATTCCAGGAACTCTAAACCCTACCCTTCCCCCCCCCTGCCCAAACAGGAAAAAACAAAAACAAACAAGTAGCCCATTTTTGCGAAACCCTATAAGAAACTCTTAGCCCTGTAACCCCTGCGCCGAAACGACTCCAACACCAGAAGGCTCGAACCTTTAAACCCTGAACCCAAACATCATCCTGAGCCCGAAACCCTCAACCCTAAACCCTGAACCCTAAACCCCCCTAAACCCTAAGCCCCTTAAACCCTATCCCCCAAACATCAGCCTGAGCCTTATCATAGGCTGCCCAGTAACCTAGGATTCAGTAGGGTGCCCTTTTGTGCTTCAAGAGGCTAGTAAGGGAACCTAAGACGCCAAAAAGTGAACAAGGGTACTACTTTGCGTCCTGGTAAAGACTTGGGTCTAAACCCCAGACATCCGCCATCCCTCTAGAAGTGTAGGATCAACTACCCCAAAGTCCCATTCAACCCATTACACCCTGCACCCGTAGAGGGTACTCTCCCACAGAAGGCCCATCAATTTTGGACAACCCCCACATACCATGAACCCTAAACCCTAAACCCTAAACCCTAAACCCGGCATAAACTAACTCTGGCCCAAACCCTAAACCCTAAACCCTACACCCTTAACCCTAAGAGGGGCTCCTTTTGCAGGGCTTCAGGGCATGAGGGCTTATAGGGCTCTCAGGATCCCAGATTATGATGTGCTGCTAGAGACTGCCGCTGCTAGGAACGATACGGTGGTGGGACCTAGGGTTTAGGGTTTAGGGTTTAGGGTTTAGGGGTTAGGGTTTAGGGTTTAGGGTTTGGGACCTCAGAAGTGTTTGGGTGCTCAGGAGGATTTGCGCCCATGCCCATGCCGTGGGCTATATGCACAACCTGGATGATCTCGGAAAACCGTGCTAGACCATAGCTATGCCTCAAGCCTTGAGCTAAAGATGTCCAAGAACATCCAAGGTTTGAGGGTGGGTATACATGCAGAAAAAAAGCTCCGAAAAAAAAGAGACTGGCTCTGTTGCATAGACGTCGTCGCTGATGCGATGGGGGGGGGGGGGGGCCATGCCCAGCAATACTCAACTGCATGTTCACGCAGTGCGAATGCAGCGTGGAACGGTATGGAAGAAGGGCCCATGCAAGATTTCATCTCTCAAAGGAATATTCATGTCTGTTCCGAAGAAATTGCAAAAACATGCAAACACACCACGCAACTGGATCGAATGTGGTCGGACTTGAGGTGGAATTCGCTCGGCAGCTTGCAGGTAACCCTGCCATTTGGCCAACTCTTCGACGCTGCTTGATCTCACAGTGAACTCGGATACGCCTGCAGCCTCCGCACACCTTTGCACGGATACCATTGAGTTTGGTTTTTTTTGGGTTGCAGTTCTTACTGCTCTATGAATGGCCAAAAGCACTCGCGGGACGTTGACCCGGAAGTCACGTGCTGAAGCAACCGGCGTGTTGTCAAGAATGGAGCGCACGGTCTTGTCAAAAACTGACTTGGCAGCATTATTCTCGTGGCTGTCCAGTGTGCGTTTCTCCTTCTTTTCCTTCTGTCCTTCTGCCGTGCTCCTCGTTCTGTCAAGCTTCTCGCTCCCAGTTGACCTGGCGAATCTGGACTGAAGGGGTAAGAAGTGTCTTGGGCGCCCCTGCTTTTCAAGAGATGATGGCTTCGACGTTCCTTCGAAACGAACAATCCATCAGCGAGGGTGTCCCTTTCCGCAGGTCTCATGGTTCTTTCCGATCTGCCCCGCTTACTGCAGCTGCGCGTGATTCCAGCAGTACAACTGAAACATCCACACTCAGAGCAAGTGGTTGGGCCGCGCTTCTCTGCGACGAGGAGCCTGCTGTGAGCATTGACAAGACTCCTGCCACGGTGGGCACCGTGGGGGGCAGGAGGGATAGAGGGATACGCTTGCTAAACGGGGAGCTTGTTTGCTTTGCACTGGAGTGAGATTCCAGGCTGCACAGCTCCGCTCCCCACTGTTCGCCTGGAGGAACAGAGGCCATCAAGCCAGTTCGATTTTACCATGAGTTCCAGGCAAAAAGCCAAGATGGGCGGTGGCAACATGCTGTTTGCAAGGCCTTGCCGACTCGAGAGATGACCATTTGATGTGTCGACGACCACCTTGCTTGTGATGCTTACCACCAAGTTGCGATAGGTCCAACCTCAGTCCCGCAGAACTGGAAATCAATCGCCCAGTGCCAGCAAAGAACGTGTACCGAACGAGTCTGCCAAGCTTCAGGGAAGAACACTGCGGCCACTGCCGAAAGAAAAGGTACAAGGTTTCGATGTCACACATTCGTTGTGATGCGCGGATTTGCGTAAAGATCAGGCGTAAGAAGTTTGAGCCACAGCGGTTTCGGCAGACGGAGGCCAACGGGACCGAAAAACGAGGGCAAGTCGGATAGCCACACATCCTGTCGAAGCAGCTCCACTATGACAATCGAGCCGTCAAGCTGGTGACATGTGGCACCACCGCGGCCAGGAGTTAGTCCAGGGAAGGCATCGCTGGTCTTACACTGCCACGTCATAGTGACACGCGGCGATGACTTGTGGGTCGGAACGATTCGGGTCGCACGACGACCCTGGAGTTTGAGCATTAAAAAGTTCACATATTTGTTGCGGTCAATGCTACCACAACGGCAAGCAAACGGACAGATAAGCAGATATCTGCCCAAACCCATTGTGTTTCCTGTTGTGGAGGTTAAGGGTTTCGGGTTTATAGGGTTGTAGGCTCATTTCAGGCTGAAAGCATGGCAGAACCTGCTC